AAGACAAATAAGATACTGTCTTTACTTTCAAGAAATATTGCTATTTTCCAGTCCAGCCCCATTCTGGAAAGTTCTGAGAAGGTGTCTTTACATGCGCGTTACCATTCGTGTTGCTTTAAATACAAAAACAGAACTGAGTGCATGTAAATCATCTTTCCTTTATGGGATCTGAAATTTTAAGAGTTTTAAGGCCTTCTACATTCACCTATCATGGACTCAGGAATATTCAGTTTCCTAAAATACTGGCTTTGGAAGATAATGGAAGTTTACTTCCACATAATGACCATTAATTGTTATTATTTCTTTCCTATGAGGTCCTATAAATCTATTTCTTCTGTGACAGCTCTCCTTAGGCTCTCTTTCTCTTTCCATTTTTTTTTTTTTTTTTGGCTAAAAGTTGCCAGGATCTATAATCCCTATCAAAGGCAAACTAATCTTTTTGTTTTTTCACCTTATTCTGCCTTATTCTTACATGATCACCCCCCCCCCAACTAACTACTCATGTCTCATCAAGTCCAATCCCATCCTTTCAAGAAGACTGTGTTGGCTCACCACAGAAGTATCACCACCTCTTTTGTGTGTACATTGGTGAGCTCCCTCTCAACCAATTTGCTTCCAGAATCCTTGCTGCCTTGAATAACCAGTTCTCTTGCTGCTGGATTATCTAGTGTGCCAAATATGGCAAATACCCCAGAAACCTTTTTTATGAACAAGTTATGTATGAATATTCATCTCTAGTTAGTTGATCCAATATAAATAGCTATTCAACATTCTGGTAATCTCTAAAGATAGCACTGACATTGGAGGCTTCATAAAGCAATTCATAGTTTGGAAGGAGACTCTAACATCAGAAAGGATCCTTCACAGGAATTAATAAAATAGAAACTCCCACAAATCAAACTAAGATTTATTTTGTTGTTGTTGTTGGTTTTAGAAAATAAATTTATTCTCAAGGATGCTATGGCGAATAGGTTTCTCTGTTTCAGTTTCCAAAAACAGTTCATCTTAAAAACTACTTAAGCACGTGGAGGGGGGCAATGTTCACTTTCTGCACAAGAATCTGAGTAGTTCAGAATCTTAAAGGAAGCAGATAAATTTGTCTGGAACACAAGGGTGTTTACCAAGAATTAGTGCCCCACCCATTTTTTTATAATATTTGTCTGATTATTATCTTCTTTTTACACTGTGCAAACCCAAAATTTGAATTTCATAAATACAGTAGAGTATTTTATAGCTAGCTATAGAATATAAGGCTACATAGAGGCTACATAGGAAAATATTCAGAATAAACTTTTAAAACATTTTTTTCTTTTTTTGCCAGAAAGTGCATGCACTTGCTGGAGAAAGACAGAGAATGGAGAGAAAAGCAAGAAAGCTCCCCCCATGGGGCATGGTTATGCTGCAATCCCCTCTCCTTCATTTCTCCCTCCTTTCACAGTTTTGCACAGGCATGTGCCTGGCACATTTTTCAAGCCACCGGGTCCAAGACTTCAACTGTTCAGTCGGCCATGTGGAATTCATTTTACTTAACCACCAGGCTGACCCTAAAATAAACTTTTAAATGGAAAACAAAAACAAAAACAGAAAAAATGACCCAATGATACGTGTTTCTAAGGTTGTATGTGAAAGTTTAAAAGCGAATTGCAAAAATACTAAAAATGGTTATCTTTGTACTGAGGGATTAACTTTTATTTTCCTTATAAACTTTTAAAATTTTTTCTGTAATGTGATTTAAAAAATAAAATATATATTGTTAATACTAAATTAATAAGTAATACATAATAAATTAATAAAAATAATAAATTATTTAATAATTAATAAAATATATACTATTAACTTTATTCTTCTCAACAATATAATCAAACGATGTGATTAAAAAATTAGCCAGAGACTTTAACACATTACATTGCCAAAAGAGATATATAGGAAAATAAGCATATAACAGGTCTTCCACCTCATATGTCACAAGGGAAATACAAATCAAAGCAACAGTGATGTACTACTAACACTTATTAGAACAGTCAAAATCCAGAACTCTGACTACCAAAATGTTGAGAAGAACAATATGGCATGTCATTCATTACTGGGCTAATGGAAAATGATACAGCCATTTTGGAAAGTAGTTCAGCTGTTTTGTTTTTATTTAATTTTTAAAGTTTTGGTACATTTTCGGTTTTGCCATAGGGTGTGTGTTCTATGGCAAAACCTAAAAAATACTGAAGACACAGAGACAAAAAGACAGAGGGAAAGTGAGAAATCACTCTCTAGGGGAGATGGCCACTCTTCAATTCCTTCTCCTCTTGGAATTTTGGGCATACACAGACATGTGCCCCACGTGATTTTCATGTCACCAGGTCAAGGATTTGAACCATAGTCAGCTATGTGGGAGTCCAGCACCTTAACTACTATGCCACCTGCTGGCCCCCAGCTATTTCTTACAAAACTAAGCATACTCTTATATGATTTAGTAATCACACTCCATGGTAGGTACCCAAATGAAGTGAAAACTTAGGTTCACACAAAAATGTATACTGAGGTGTTTATAACAGCTTTTTTCATACTTACCAAAGTGTAGAAATAACTAAGATGCCCCTTTCAATTAGTGAATGAATGAATAAACTGTGGTCTATCCAGACAATGGAATATTATTTAGTGCTAAGCAGAAATGAACTATTAAATAATATGCAGAAAACTTAAAGGCATATTACTAAGTGAAAGAAGCCACTATAAAAAGGCTACATACTTTATAATTCTAACTGTGACATTCTGAAAAGGGCGAAACTATATGGATAGTAAAAAAAAAAAAAATCAGTGGTTTTCAGGGATTAGGGGAACGGAGGAATTTTAGAGCAGTGGAACTACGCTGTATGACATTGTAATACTGGATATATGTAGGTCAGCATACACTTGTCCACACTCATGGAATGTGCAAAATCAATAGGAATCAGTCAACTCTAATGTAAAATATTGGCTTTGGCAGATAATGGCATGTCAATATAGATTTATTAACTGTAATAAATGTCCCCTACTGTGAGGGAGGGGGTGTTAGAAAAGAGGAACACTATGCATATGTGAGTATAAGGTAAATAGGGAAATCACTATTTTCTTCTCAATTCTGCTGTGAAGCAAAAATTGCTTTAAAAAAAAGTCTTCGGAAAAAAGTATTTCTTAACATCCTTTGTGCCTACAACTCAATGATAATGATGGAAAAAATATCTATCTGCTTTTCTTTTATTCACAGCAGAGGTTCAAATGTGAACTATAAACTATGACAGAAATTATGCCCTATCAGACTGAGGTCATACATTTACAAATAATCTACTCCAAAATGTCCTCAGGGCTGTGAGAAACCATAATAACTCCACAGTTGCAGTGATTATAACTCTAAGGTAGGTCTAACTTATGTGAATATATCACTTCTGTGTTTGTTCTAAAGGAAGTAGTCATTCTATTCAATTTGGGTCATCTCTTGGGGATTTTGAGAGCATTTTCACTGTTAAAACTTGAGTTTGAAACACACAGAATAAGATTTCTGTATAACTTCAATGAAAATATTGACTTTCTAAAGAGATAACCCAAATGCTGAAAGGTTTCAAAGGGCTGAAAAAATGACTGGTCTTTAATGGGTCAATGGTCTTTTGTAATTGCATATTTTATTAACCAGTCAAATATTCAAACAGAACACTTTGAGTATCCAAAATACTCTACAGTGTTCAAACAGAGACCAGAAACCAGAAGAAAAGTAGTATCATGATATCAATGAGGAGAGTTAGGTCTAAATAAATGAAACCTATTGAATTTCCCTTCTCCCGAAGCCAACTTGCATCCACCCAGACAAATGACTATTATTTGATTTACTGCCTCTATTTTTGACTCTTTTCTAATAGCTTTGGCCTATTGTTTTTGCAAAGCTTCATGATCTACAACTATTACCCACCCAAGATATTAATAATACAAAGTTCTCTACATTGTGACAGTGATGAAAGTAATCTCTATTCCCATTCAACTACTATGGATAAACTTTTGTGTTCTCGAAGATCAATATGGGCACCTGTAAAGCATTTTGGAAAGTATTTATAAACCCCACGTGACTCACTTTCCAAATAACAAGACAAAATGAAGACAGGAGCAATGGCTTTCAGCACTTCATGGTTCCATTGTTACACATTCCACACACCTATAAGTCATTGCCCAACTGGTGGCCATTACTTCTTTTTCTTTTTAATGCTTATTTATGTAATTTTATTTATTTTATTATTTTTCAATTTGACTGGAGAGACAGAGAAAGATCGAGATGGGAAAGTGAGAAAGCAAGCCACCAGGTCCAGGATTTAAACTGAAGTCAGTTATGTGGGAGTCCAGTGCCTCAACCACCAAGCCACCTGCTGATCCTGGCCATTACTTCTTGCAAAACTGAGAAATTGGATCGAAGTTAAGGAACTACGGAGTTGTAAATAAGAACATCAATCAAACTATACCTGGAAATCATAAAAGTAATAGTGTAGTAAGATGTCAGTGTATTTTTTGTAAAGCTAGCAAAATATATTGTTTAAGAGCTAGAGACCTGGAATAGACAAGATCTAAAATTGAATTCCATTTCTGCCATTGAAGAGATATTACACTGGTCAAATTACTTTGCAACTGCAAGGTTCTGTATTTCATTTGTTTTAATCTATAAAGTGGGGAAATAAAACCTACCTCTTAGGGGTTTTATGATCATTTAGATAATGTGTTTCATATACTAAGTACGATGTTTGGCACATCATAACTATTTTTAAATTATTGTTTTTTGTTATATAAATTGTTATTTTGTTTATTATTATTCTAGAGGGCAAGTCAATAGGTAACGATATCAACCAGTACTACCATATTTTCCATGTAAACAGTGGATCATTCAAAAGGAGTTTTTTAGTTCTCTTGTAAGTTTCCCATTGACAAGGATTCAAGAGATATACATGCATTTTTCAGTTATTTTTCAATATATGTAATATGTCTCTTACCTTTGCCTTTATCATCAGTTCCTCATGTTTACGAATTAGCTTCTCATTGTCTGAAAGTGATGAACCTACGCTTTGCTCCTGTAACTCTCTCATAGTTTTCTGAAACCAACAAGTGACCTAGGTAAGAAGCAACAACAAAAAGATCAAAATTCAAATAATCAGAATAGTTAGTATAAATTTAGAAATAATTTCTCAACTTTTTGAAACCTAAGATACTGTAATTTTTCTTTATGTACTTTTCAGGTATTTCACCTTTTTCTTCACTTAGAACTCTACATGCTTAAAAGAAAAAGAATTCAACAATCCTAGGACAGCATGAAAATGACTTTTCATGAGTTCAGTAGATTACATGTCATGAAGAAATTAAAAATCTCCCCTCAAAGAAGAAGCAAAATGAATTTCTACATTTCCTACTAAGGATTCTTCTGTCCTTTGGGTAGATACCCAGGAGTGGAATTGCTGGATCATATGGTAGTTCTATTTGTAGATCTTTGAGGAACCTCCATATTGTTCTCCACAGTGGCTGGAGCAATTCACATTACCACCAGCGGTTGTAAGAGGAGTCCCCTTTCACTACATCCTCACCAGCAATTTTATTTATTATTATTATTTTTAATCTTCCTCATCCTGACTTGGGTTAGGTGGTATCTCATTGTGGTTTTGATCTGCATCTCCCTTATAATGAAGGATGTTGAGCATTTTTTTTATGCCTTTTGGCTATTTGTATGTCTCCCTTAGAAGTTATTTTTTTTTCAACTCATTCTCCATCTTTTAATAGGGTTGATCATCTTTTTTTCAGGAAAGCTGCTTGAATTCTTTGTGTATTCTGGTTATCAATTCCTTATCTGATGCATAGTTCACAAAAATATTTTCCCATTCTAAGGGTTGTCAATTCACACTAGTTACTGTGTCTTTAGCCATGCAGAAATTTCTTAATCTGATGTAATCCCAATTATCTATTTTTGAGATTATCAACTGTGCTTTGGGGGTCTTATTTAAGAAGTCTTTGCCTACCCCAGTGTCTCCCAGAGTTTCCGCAGTGTTTCCCAGTAGTTTGAGGTTTAAATCTTTGATCCACCTGAGTTGATTTTTGTCAATGATGAGGGGTAGAGGTTCAGATTCTTTTTTCTGCAGGTAGATATCCAGTTTTCCCAGTACCATTTCCTTTTCCCACTAGATTGACTGGTAACCTTTGTCAAAAATCAGTTGGCTGTATGTTTGGGTGTTTATTTTTGGAGTCTTTATTCTGTACCATTGGTCCATCTGTCTACTTCTGTGCCAATACCATGCTGTTTTGATTATCACAGCTTTGTAGTATACTTTCAGGTCAGGGAGTGAGATGACGCCCACTCCACTCTTCTTGTGCAGGATTGCTTTGGCAATATAAGGTCTTTTATGATTCCAGAAAAATGGTATGGTTCTTTTCATTGATGTTTATTGCAGCATTATTCACAATTGTGAAGATATGGAGCCAACACAAATGCCCACAAATAGATGAATGGATTGAAAAAGTGTGGCACATATACTCTATGGAATACTATTCAGTCATAAAAAGCAACCATACCCTGGTTTTTGACAGAAAGTTAAAGAATATGGAAGATTTACTGCTGAGTGAAGCAAGCCAGGCTATGAAGGAGAGCCATTGTATGTTGCCACTTAATATATACTGAGTGTCCACACTCTATACCCAAAACTGAACAACTAGAGGATATAGAAACATAGAAAATGGTTATAAATACCAGATACAGTGTGGGAAGAGGGTGGGTGAAGGAGGAGAATCTAAGGAAGGACATTAAGGAGGAAAATAGAGAGGCAAGGCATTTATGGGACAAAGAAATGGGTTATTATGTGTTGAAAATAACATATATAGTATTTTCAACTGAACTGGTGAGAAATGTATACATCTTGGAATATTCATTTTGCAAGATAAGTGACATACTTGATTGAATGTATAAAAGAAATTGAAATTTAAAAACATTTAAAATGTTTTCTTTCTTTCTTTCTTTCTTTTTTAATTGAGAGTTTTTTGCTATAGGGTGCATGTGCACACCAGAAAGACAGAGAGACAGAAAGTGAAAGCTCACTCCCCAGGGGGGATGGCCACGCCACAATCTCTCCTCCTCCTTTCTCCTCTCAGGATTTTGGGCATACATGCACACACACCTGGCGTGAGTTTAAGCCACCAGATTTAGGACTCGAACCACAGTTGACTACATGGGAGTCTAGCGACATAGCCATTACGCCAACTGCTGGTCCCTAAAAAATGTATTTTTATATTTTTAAGTGTCCATAAACCATGCATTCTTTAGTAATATGTTCATGTTTCTGGATATAAACATGTATTTGTGTATGGTTACATGAATCCACATGAAGATATTTAATCAATATATGTGGAATTATATTTTCTACTATAAAAAGGTAATGCTAATAAAGAATATTTAGTTTGCTGAAAATTACAAAATTTGATACAAAAATAAATGAAGTTGTTAAAATTCCATTGACATTACAAATAGCTAAGGGCATGGCTCACATTCATGTAGACTTGATTTTAATATATGTCATGAACAGTGTTAAAACAACCAATGGTAAAGAGATCCAAAGAAGTCATAAATCTTAAAATTATGTCATAACATAACGAGAAGCCTATGACATGGGAACCCTAGATTCAGATTCTTTATCCTTATTACAGGGTAGAGACTTGGATTTTTACTCTCTAATCCTTGTAGCATTATCCTCAGGATCACTTCCTAGGTGCCTGCTACTAATTTTTTTTTTTTTTCTTAGAGAGCACTATTACCTCTTTAGAGATTTTACTATTATTATTTTAATTTGTTAAAGGGTATGTGCACTCACTGGACAGTAAGAGAGGGAAAGTGACAAAGCACACCCCTCCATGGGGGATGGCCACACTCCAATCTCTTCTCCTTTCTCCTCTCAAGATTTTGGGCATGCATGCCCATGTGCTTGGCATGTTTTTCAGACGACCAGGTCTGGGACTTGAAAGTCTAACTCTTAAGCTGGACAGTTTTCTAGTTGCTTTTGGGGCATTATTTCTATTTCTCTCAATAAGTCTATACCTAGTATGATATCGTCATATTGAGTTGTGAAGAGATTAAGCAGGTTATCCAGGGCCACATTTTAAGTGGAAAGACAGGATTTGTCCCCAAGCTTACAGGATTTCAAAGTCCATGCTCTTTCCATAGTATCCTGCTACCATACTTGGTATCTTAAAGTCTTATAGCTCTGTCATCAGGGGAAATGACTTCATACCTGTTTTTCTGCTATCTCAGAACTGAATAACACATATCATGCACTTATCAGAACCCACTGAGAATATTTTATCAAAAGCTATAAAATGTGTTCACTAATTTATGTAATTTTTATAAACCAGAATAAATTTTCACAACAGATGTACCAAACCCATATGAAAATACAATTAGAGGAATAATCTAAGGATTTTCTCAAAGTAAAGTGGATCATGACTATAATTAACTTTCAGAAATCATTTGTCTTGTACTGGGAATGAGTTTTATTTATTTTTAGCTAAAGTAGGAAGAATCTGGAAATCTCAAGAATGCTTTAATAGAAGAAGTTAATATGGAATCTGAGTGGATGAAAAATGGGTATGAACAGGTGTTCACTAATCTCTAAAAACAGGTGGGAGGCCTGAGCCCTCCCATAATCTTATTAAACTTTGTGAGTCAAAGAACTGTCATCTAACACATTCCAGCAGTGATGAAAGCTGGGCAGGAGTGAGTTGTTTTGATTTTTAAATGAAATCTACTGACCTCATCCCCTAGATTTGGCATATACTATTTTGATCCCCTGTAAGGCAATACTATTCCATATAAGATAAAGTTGTTAAAGCATTATGGTAATGTTCAGTCTATCCTGCTCACATGCCTGCCTGTCAAAATATGCTGACACTGTAAATCTGTACCCTTTTACTACCAGATGTACCTTAGAAAGAAACATAAAAACAAGTAGGCATGAGATTCAGAAGTAAGTACATCATCGTAAGTGCTCTCTCTCATCACGAGGCATTCACACACATGGGTAGCCTCTTAGATCAGATTTACCATGTATGTTGCTGGGTACACACAAAATAGGTTCTCAGTGTCCTTCTGATGCTAAAATAAGACACTAAATAACCAAGGACCTATCAACCATGACACTCTTCCATCCAGTAAATCAGTCATTGCATCCCACTAGTAGCTACTGCAGACAGCTGCATAGATATTCCAAGTGCATTTTTTATAAGCTTTCAAATTATATCAGCTGCTGTCCAAAAGCCTGTTTATAAGTACAGTAAATGATGCATCAGGACATTTCTGCAGAACATGGTCCCTGCTACAGAATGAAAACATTAGCTGTGGATTAAGGAGATGTGGAAAAGAAGAACAAAGAGAAAAGTATGTGTTGGAATCCAGTTCTGGCCAAAGAAGGATTAGAGAGGAAAGTGAGAATATTTTTTTCTTCTCTCTTCTTGGGTCCTATCTTTCAGCTTGACCTAAGTGATATGCTGATGACTTTCTCATCAGTTTGGTGTGACATTCTAGGTATTTAGTTAGCAAAGATGCAAAAAAGGAGTGATCAGGAATGTTCAATGAAAACCAAGAGCTGCCTTGAAAATGAAAAAAGGGTGCCATGAAAATTCTGTCATATGGTGTAGACCTGCACTGTCCAACATGGTAACCACTAACCATACATGGCCATCGAGTCCTTGCAATGAGATTAGTCCCAACTGAGATGTGTCCTAAGTATAAAATACACAGATCTCATAGACTTCGTGTAAAAATTATAAAGTGATCTCATTAAAAATGTCAGTATTGATAACCTGAAAATATATTAGATATGTTGAATTAAAATATATTATTGCTTTTCACTTTTCTAATTGCAAGAGGGTGTGTGCACTTGCCAGGGAGAGAAGGAGGGGGTGGGGAGAGAGAGAGAGAGAGAGAGAGAATCTCCCAATGAGGCATGGTCATGTTGCTATCCCTTCTCCACTTCATACTGTTTCACATGGCTAACCATGGTTTGAGTCCTGGCCTGGTGGCTTGAAAAATACAGCAGGGTGTGTGTGTGTGTGTGTCCAACATTCTGGTGGTAATATTTTG